AGTTCTTTATGTTTTCCATTTTTCAACACCTTTGACTGGGCATGAAATACATGACAATTTTTCTAGCGAGGATTTTTTTAAAGTCTTCAAAGACTAGCTCCAACAAAGAAAGAGAAAAATGAAAGCTTGAATTTTGAAAATTATCAAGATTTTTACGTAAATCTTCAACATGCAAAATTTTTTGGCAGCTCATTATTGTTTTTTGGACTATCCACCCAGTTTCTGATTTTGTTCCTTCCTTAATATTCAAAAATATGATAGAACTCAATTACACTATTATTATAAGAATGCGCGGAACATTGTTTGTTATAATTGACAGTTTCAACTTCTTCTTCTTTAGAAGAAAACTCAAAAGAGTCGATTCTCTATGATAGATAGTTCAAACTGTTGACTGATAACAATAATCGATTGTTTGAACTTTCTACTATCGTTGATCAACAGTTTAAACTGTCAGTTACAGACAGTCTGTTCTATGAACTTTCCACTTTAACTGATGAACAGTTTAAACTGTCAATTATAGATTATCGATTGTTTGAACTTTCGACTATAGTTGATCAATAGTTTAAACTGTAAGTTACAGATAATCAGCTCTTTGAACTTTCAACTGTAATCAGTCAACAGTTCAAACTGTTGATTTATAGTTATAGTGGAAAGTTTAAATAACCGATTATCTATAACTGACAGTTCAAACTGTTGATTAACTGTAGTCAAAAGATTAAACAATCGATTACCTATGATTGACAAATTAAAATGTTGATCAGTTAAAGTGTAAAATTTAAAGAGCCGATTATCTATAACTGACGGTTCAAACTGTTGACTAATTAAAGTGGAAAGTTCAAAGAGCTTATTATTAACTATAATTGATAGTTTAAACTGTTGAATAACTATAGTCGAAAGTTCAAACAATCGATAATCTATAATTGACAGTTAAGGTTGTTGATTAGTCAAAGTGTAAAACTCAAAGAGTCGATTATCTAAAACTGACAGTTCGAACTATTGATTAACTATATTCGAAAGTACAAACAGTCGATTATCTATAATTGACAATTCGAACTGTTCATTAAGTATAGTCGAAAGGTGAAGCAATCGATTATCTACAATTGACAGTTTAAGATGTTGATTAGTTGAAGTGGACAGTTCAAAGAACCGATTATCTATGACTGACAGTTTGAAGGAATAAGTACAGTCGATTATCAATAATTGACAGTTTGAACTGTTGAATAATTACAGTCGAAAGTTCAAAGAGCCGATCACGTACAACAGTTTGAACTGTTGATTAACTAGAGTCAAAAATTGAATTGTCGTTTACGACTAATGATTTCTCGATCATTTGAATTGTAAATTATAGACGATCATAAGTTCAAACTGATGATGATAACAAACTGTGTAGTCCTTTTGAGATCCCTCGTAGAGCAACACTTTGACTTATACTGTGCTGTTTGGGGGAAACTGTTGCATAATGGATACCTGAGCTAGATACAATGAAACAAAAGGACAAATACAACTCGTTATGTTTTATGCGAATGTGTCCAGAAGAAGATCAGAAGAATATGACAAACATTCACCAAAGGCTTGAAACCAGAGCCCAAAAACGAAGCAATGGTGATCTAACACCAGAGGGCGCTTCTTTGACCCCACATACATCTCAGCATTAAGGATGGGTAGAACCACAAATACATCAAATATAGGATAGAGAAATTAACTTTTGTATGATTTCTACCAAGATTTTCATTTGTTACGACCAGTTTCGGTTTATTAAACCATTCTCAAATGCATTGCTGGACTATGGGATCAACAAAAAAGGCAAGCTTCGACATCGATTGCCGAACGAAATTGGTCCTCTGTGTTCCATTGCAAAGCCACCATATGGAAACAAAACCCAAAAACGAAGCACTGGTGATCCAACAGTAGAGGGCGCTGCTTTGACCCACCATAAATCTCAGCAGTAATGCTGGTTAAAACTACAAATGCATTGCTGGACTATGATATCGATAGAAGAATAAATTCTCGAAGATACACTGGTCCGTTACAAAGGCAAGTTTCAAAATATACCGTCGAACGAAATTGGTACTCTGTCTTTTCCTGCAGGGCAACTATAGGGTCTTCCAACAGGCCTTCCGAACTATGACAATTGATATCGGTCACCTTGTTCAAGCTACATCAAATCAGGTGTCACTCATTTAGACTGTTTTACCAAATTACCATGGCGGATTTAGCATTCAACAAAACGTGAATATAATAAACTTGTTTTATCAACATGGGTGTTGTAATGCGCGCCTCGCCCATTTTACGGTCGCCATAATCGTCCTTCCGCCTGTGAGTTGTGCTATCTATCGGGCGCGTTCCCAGGTGGCGGATAGAGGAACGGCCATGGGACTGGAGGCCCTGTCCGGGGACTCCTGGTCAGTGGCAGAAATGAGTAGGATGAGGGGAACTAAAACTCCCCAAAAGCCTTTGCAAAACATGCCACCGTGGACCAGCCTACCCAAGCTAAGGCGTAAGGAATCGTGCCGACAGTTAAATGGCCGCGGTCACGAACGATCCATTTGGGGACTGGGCGAAACCTCATTGTAATCAGCCTTCCTCTGGTAATGCGGGGCTCTGCCAGAGGTGACCAACTTTTCCCTTGCTACTCGTGGGAACACACATTAATGAAACAAACACAAAAACAGAAACAACAAAAACAAAAACCAATTCCGAGGCTGGACAGAAGTGCTCACCTCAATCAAAGGCGGTGGCTGGGGATGAACAGAAATGTCCACCCCAATCTACCGCTTGGAATGAGGCTGGACATAGCAAATCACCTCGTGATGTAATACAAAGGCCAAGGCGTAAGCGCATTTGCGGTGCCGAGGCCAAAAGGAGAAAGAGAGTGAAAGAGGCAGAAGTGGCAGCAACTGTAAGTGCACCCTCCTCTTCCCTCACTCCACCTCCAACAGCAAGGGCACTTCCTGCGGCGGGCGCCAAGAGCTCCGCCTTGAATAAAGGCAAGAAACCGGCTGCCCCTGCAGGAAAGCTCCCTCGCACTTGTGCACCTCCACGGAGGGAACCCCAAGAAGGTTGAAGAAGCCGCGCAACGACAGTAATGTCGCTGCACCTTCAAAAACCTTCGCGGAGGCCACCGAGAGACACCTCAAGGTTGCCAAAAAGAGTGTGTTCGGCGAGTCTTGGCTTACACCTGCCAATATAAAGGAGATGTCTCCCAGTGACCTATCCACATTCCTGGAAAGGACAGGATGGACGATGACCTACAATGGGTCACATGTAGCCTATGTGCTGTGGGTCTACACTCACCCTCCCTACTCTACAGATACATAATCATCCTTCCGAGAGGAATATTCGCAATGTGGTGGATACATTTGAGTCCACTAGTTCAGCAAACGATCTACCAACATCCGTACGTCGACGAAACGCAAGATCTGCCGAAAACATCGCCGCTGTCTGTGAGAATGTGCAGGACAATCCGGGGCAGTCGATTCCGCGTCGCTTACAAGAACTCGACCTTTCGCATACCATACCTTGGCGAATTTTGCGTCGTGACTTGAGCCTGCACCCGTACAAAATTCAACTGACTCGGGAACTGAAGGTAAACGACAATAGACGACGAAGTGTGTTCGCTGAATGGGCTTAGAGCAGTTGGTAACTGACTCTAATTTTCATCGAAAAATCATCTTTAGCGATGAGGACAATTTCTGGATGAATGGTTATGTAAACAAACAAAATTGTCGAATTTGGGACGGAACCAATACACACGAGATCTAAGAGCGTCCAATGTATCCCGAAAAAGTGACTGTTAGGTGAAGATTTTGGGCTGGCGGCATCACGGGTCCATATTTCTTTAAGAATGACGTTGGCCAGACTATCACTGTCAACAGGGAGCACTATAGATCGATGATTACCAACTTCTCTTGGCCTGAATTGGATGATCTGGTCACCAACGGCATGTGATTCAACAGGACGGCGCTACGTACACAGCTCATGCCACATTGAATATTCTGTACGAGCGATTTGAGGGCATGGTCATCTTACGTTGATGTGATGTGAACTGACCACCGAAATTGTGCCATTTGACCCCGTTA